CCCAAGAACAAACCAGCACCCTCTCCCCCCAAACGCACCTTCCCCCCACAACACCCACAAATAATCCAATTCAATTGCCCTTGCTTGTGTAATAGTTGTAAGTAACCTCAGTTTCAGAGGTTTAAATAAAAACTTTCTACTAGTGGCAAAAATTAAATATTTATATGTATATAGGGAATGTGAAAATATTTGTGTGAAATTTATGTAGAAAACAACAGGTAAGTTTTAGATAATTTAAATGTGCTATTAAATAGGCAGTAAGAGGGGACTATTGGTGATGGTAGTGATTTTGAGTCAGTTGTGGGTTTATGGTTTGTTAGTAACAAAAGGACCCTGTCTTCTCCACCTCCGTAGCCTTTATTTTTATTTCTTCTCCTCTCATAAATAACTTGTGCCTGGGAAGTTGAGACCAGGTGGGGAAAATGTGGATGTTACAGCCTCATTCACTTGTACTATGTGCCAATTTATTGGCGGTTCAGTCTTTCCGTATGATGACTGTAGGAGAGTTGGGATTCTACCCCTGTGTGCTTCTGCTCAGCAACTGAAATGGTGTTAAAGAAGGTGACCCAACTTCCAGTGACCAACTGCAGCTTATGCTGCGTTTTATCATGGGTAGTAGTTAGCAATTAAATTCTCCATGAGCAGCTTTTGCATAACCGCTTATGTGGTACAAGCACTGTAAATATTGAAATACGTGGGAAAAGTTAGTGATCCGTGATACAGACTGTCCAAAAATGCTGCTGCAGTGTTGGCTTGCTAATAAGCACATGCCCAGTCTGGATATGTAAGAAGAATTTATGGATTAGTAAGTGTTGCTTTCTGTTTTCCGTAACGGAACATACTGTGATCCTTCTTTTGGGGAAAAATAAGCTGGAGAGGGGGTGAAAGTGTTTGTTCTTAGCTTTAATTAGCTTTCTCGAGATGCTTTTACTGTTTTGATGACTGACAGTAGACCTGCATGCTTTATTTTCACATGAACATAAGAAAAATGTAATGATCCTGTTAAGAAAATGTTTGAATGGTTGAGATAGTTTTGCTTTTCCAGAAGCAAAGCTTCAAGAAGCAACTGATAAGTGACCTCCACTCATCCAGGAGACATTAATAAGAATTAGTAAACAGTTTGAACCCTACCTCATCTACATGTTTGGGTTTTAAGTGGTAGTTTCTGTAAACATTGAGTAGTGGGGATACAAGTAGAACCAAATGCGAGAGCTGCCGTTGCAAAGGTTGGGTGGGAGGACTGGGCAATTGTATTAATTGGCAATATTCAACATGCTTGGAATTATAGTAGTTGTTTGTCCTTTAAGCAATTCTTGAGTCTCAACATAATTCTGTAATTGGCCATAAAACTGATTCCTCAAGATTCCTCTCAAAACAGTGTGGTCTTAGAGATTTTGAGAATCTTTTTGCAGATAATATGGCCACAAGTAGAGCTGTATTATCACTAAATGATTAATAAAATAATATTAATATATATTTCCAGTATGTGATTTCATAATTACTAGTTTGAATACTCAATGGCTTTTGTTACGTAAAGATAGCTTGTAAAATCTAGCTTTTTAAAAGAAAAAGGCATTACTTTTAAGGTTTGCTTCCTATATTCTTCACTGATGTCAGTTGCGTTTGGGATGTAACTTCTTAAGTTGGCATGGGGAATGCTAGCATTCTTGAATATTCGTTTATTTGAATTTTGGGAAATCCATCCTTCCCAAAACCTACTTTTTGCTTTTGAAGACACTTGATCTCTGAAAGTGTCACAGGAATAATACCTAGCTTTTTAAAAATTTATTTTTGGACTCTCTGGGGCTTCAGCATGTCCTGAAAATGAGAAGATCGGGGATAAATGCTTTTCAGACTATATTAACCTTTGCAAAATGAGTTTGACTGCATTGCTTTTTTTATTCCTGTAAATGACTGATAGGTATATTGTCCCTTAAGAATAGCTGCACTCTTTATAGATATCCTTTTTGATGAAATAGATTAAACATAGTTGGACAGACTTTGCAACCTGATTGCATTTCTAATTAGTTTTTTAATGAATTAGCCTACTGATAAAGCCATAGTTATTCAAAATTTAAAGCCAGCAACTGTGCCTTCATTTTTCAAAATGAACTTAACTATAGCTTTCAAGAACGATTACATGAGTAATGTGCCAGCATTTTTGTAAAATCAGAAACCAAAACAACCTCTCTTCTTTCTCCCAATCTTATTCTGATCAGAGTGGGAAGTAACTTGTGCTGGATGTTGCTGAAAATGCAGAATTGGGACAGTATTTAAGAGACTGTTTCAGTCTTTAATCCAAGGTCTGTTACTGAATGTTCTCTTTACCACACAACTGGCAGAAGAGATTTTTTTTTTTAAGAAAATCTAATTTAAAAAAAAAGAAGGGGGGGTATTCATATTCAGACAGCCTGCTACGGTGGTACTTGAGTAAAGAGGGGCAAATTTGGCTCCTGTACCATTCAGGGCTGTCAGACCTTGGTTTCCTGTTATGTCAATACAGAGAGTTAGGTGCAGCACGAAAGCTGGGTCCCAGTGTAAGTGGTCTGATTTCAGCCTTAATTGTTTGTGGTAACTATTGTCTTATAGAATGATTTGTTGAAGGAGCATTTCCTATGTAACCGTAGACAAGCAACTAAATGATGCCACCTTAGATTCCATTGTATAATATAGGACTAATTCCTGTCATCAGTTCAAAGTTGGTATGAATTACAAATTTACAAGTTATTTTAAAGAGTAAATTAGTGCAATTTATACTTACATTTCTAAACTGTTGTAGCTCACACTTCTGGCAGTGTAAGTAATGTTTTTATACTTACAGGTCAATAGAAAAGGTTCTGTAGTCTGTGTAGTTTGTATTTAAATACCAGCTTTGAACTTCTTTTTTTCTTTTTTAAAAAACTCCCTCACTTCTACTTCAGTAACTCCTGATTTACCTCTAACCGTTGACAAGTTTCTAGTGTTAGAGACTATTGTGCAGTTCTGACATTGTTTATGTAAGATGTACAGCACATGGTATAATGGAAAAATGAGCATCAGTGGAAGTAAAGCAGTGATGGAAGATAGTAAGGGACTTAAAAGAAGCTAAGCCTTTTGTTCTTGCATCTTCTTGGCATTGAAAAATTCAAGCATTGTAATAAAGAGCTTGGTGTATAGGTCCTTAGTTGAAGGTATTCTTTTTTTGACTTTCATCATTTAAACTGTTAGTTCTTAATGAAAATACCACACAGAACACATCCGACAGGCCTTTTTGCTCAAAGTGAATTTCCTGGTTTACAAAGTGTGAATTTTGCACACATTTCCTGCTGTTCCTGTATGAGCACTCTAAAACCAAAGTGTTTTTATTTGCGTCAGTCAAACACATTAATCTTTTGAGAAGCTTTTGATCTTGGTCTTTCTAATCTTCAACCAGCCACCGCCTTTGCTGAGCAGCAAACTGTCTCCCACCTTTTGAAAGGTGTGATTTGATCACAAATTATGCCTGTCTTGTATCATAAACCTTGAGGCTGGTAGGGTGTGCAGAAGATGAGCTGTACAGCCGATCTGCAATAGAAAGTTAATGTTTGTTCTGTTAAACTTGCAATTTTTGTGCAGATGAGAAATCTGAGTCTGTAGCAGGGGCAACAGGATTTTAAGTCATAACAGAATTGTAGCATAATGGAGGAAAAATCAGTTACCGAGACCCTTGTCCTCCTTTTTCTTTTTTCTAGTTTGTTAGCATTCATAAATACATTTAATTGGAACAGTTTTAAATGTGTCTTTGGGCGGGGGGGGGGGGGTGGTGCCCGCCCGCCCCCCCCCCCCCCCCCCCCCCCCCCTTTTTTTCTTTAATATGCCCATGCAATTGTAACTCTTCTCTTTGAATCATCGATCATGCTTTTCTTACTTAGGAAACGTGAATACCAATTAGGTCTCCTCTCTAGCAGCGATTGTGAAGTGTATAGCAACACGCAGTCAGTAGATGGCAGCATTTCCCGAGGAAAAAACAAATCAAACTAGTGTCATTGCCTACAGTAGGAGGTGAAAAAAATTGCTGCAGGGTTAGCCTTGTGTTTGTCTAATTTAGAGCAGCGTAAGTCAGAAGATTTTTGTTACTGGCTGTTATCAGACATAGTTGAGGATCAGAAGTGAATTTTGAGGCTTGTTCCAGTTGATTTTGATGGCTTGTGTTCTGCTGTGTCCTAATTTTGCTGTTTCCTTTCAAAGCCTCTCGAGCAGAGATTGCCAGTAATGTCATGAATACAGCAGGTATCTTTTCAGTCCCAGTAAATGGTCACCAAAAGCTTATTGTTTGGTTCAAGTAATAGCTTACTAAATAAAGAT